TTTTAAAGATCATGAAATCAAGCTGACAGCATTCCATAGCATGCTCAAAGTATTTTTGAGATGGCCTGTACACTTCAGAATACTTTACCAAAAGTAGACCTGCACGTCCCAAAGAGAAAGACAACTCCATTTTACTACTGCTGAAACAAGTTTCTTCACTCAGCATTGCTTCCTGCAAGGGCATCACTTTCATGCCTACAAACCGAAATAACATTGGTGATGCTGTTTCTTTTTTTCTTTTTTCCTTTTCTTATTCCAGTCATCCTACCTTTAGCACCAGTAAAAACGAACACACACAAAATTGGGCTAAGTTTTTACTCATCTGTGCGTGCATATTTTACTCCACATGCTTTATGCTTTGAATGTCACAGCAGAGCATTTACCTCTTTACGATAGCTTCCTGTTGATCTCAATTAACGTAGCAAAATACTTCTGTTAACACTTACAATAAAAATTAAATTATGTGGATACACAAAGAATTTAGCTCTTCTGCCACTTCATATGCATACACTCTGTATTTGCACTGAAGCCTCCAAGCTTATGGCATTCCACGCAGTGCAATGCAAAAGACCACAATCCAAGACAGCTTCCCTTTTTTAAATCAGTTGCCCAACTCTATAGTCCAAAGTTTCTCTTTCAGTAATTCTCAACTTCAGCATCATAAACACAGCATCTGTGTTGTTACTACCCCTACCCTTTATGGCTAAAATAGAAAGAAGAGAGACGTACTCTACCACCTTGACACAAATCCTGCAACCACAGCTCTATTATTTCCTTTGGCATAAAACCTTTTTGTTTGAAACAGAGCACCGTTATTTTTTGACACGTTTACACACAGATTCATTCAAATACCATTTGGGGGGAACCTGTCTTAGAAGATTACATTTACAGCAAGACAGCTAAAAAACCATTGGTCTCTGGTATGATAAAAACTGCAGAAGAATCCTAGAAACTGCATTAAAAAGCAAGGCTGAAGTTTCATTGTTCAGTTACTTCAGCAGGGACAACGCAGCTGGTCTCACTCTACTGGTTGTGCTGTAACAATATGCCATCAATAAGTCAGAAGGGTGAAAATGGGGGCAAATTCAGGTTTTTGCCTTTATTTATTTAGTTTTTCCTCGGTGTCTGAGAACAGATACCTGATATCCAGTCTTTGAACAGGTATGTTTTGTAAAGAAAGGCACTACTAACCACACAGTTCAATCATTTCAGGGTTTTTTCCTGAGTAATATCAAAGGCAAAATCTATATAAATCCCACTAAGTAACTACAGCTGTAAGTGTGCTGTGTATTTACAAAAGGCAGAATCTCTCTTCTCTTTGCTGGCAGAGTTGCCTATTTTTTCCCTAATTGCAGTTATAGGCAAAACTGTGAAATGATGGATCCCAAACACCTGCAGCTCCCCACAATGTATTTATTGGCCCACATACATAGTGTTACCTGGTTTTATTTTGATCACAGAGGCAATTTCTAAGTGTCAAACATTACTCCTAAGTTGAAGAAAAGGTCACTACGCAGTCTTTGAAGCCCCGCTACACAGTAGTGACAGAAAAGCAAAGATTGAGTTTCATGCCTGCAAGTTTTACTTAAACAAATGGCCCCACTTTGCCTACTCACTTAGGTGCCTCTGTTAGTTTTCCCATAATTGTGAGGTCTGCAGTTAAATGAAATGGCAGATTCATCACTGATACAATCTTTGTCCAAGGTTTACAGTCCTTTAATTTGTGTGCTTTCAGGGCTTGTGGGCATTTTCCAGTAGCTTTTCTTTATCCCAAAGGGATTTGGGTATCCTTAACGGGACTAAATTAATCCTTTCATCAAATGATAACAGAAATGTGTCATTCACTTGTCAATTTAGAATTAAAAATGAAATTGCTTTCTCAGAAAGCAAAAGGAACATAGAACACAGGTAAAAATTACACAGAAAAAAGATTACAGTCAGTACTTCAGTGTCTACAATGTGATTAGAGAATTGACAAAAGAGTAAATACATCTTCACATCTGTTGATGGTAAAATCTTGAATTCACCCTATGTATGGGTGTTTGAGCACGTAAATTAAAATTAATAGAAGGGCAAAATCGTGTCAGGAGGGGGAAATAATAGCAACTAGAGCCAACTAAAAGAACTTCACAAAGTCTACAACTATCAAACAAAACCATTGTACTAATTTACAGTCATTAGGCTTAGGTACAAATAGGCACCCTTACAAAATGTCCCCAAAGCACAGTATATGTAAAATCTACTATTTTAGAGTGAAATGTTGAAAAGCATTTTTTCCTTCATGTAGAAGGTATTATTCTCCTACCCATGATACCCAGCATGTTTTTTATTTCAAACACAGGTGGAAAAAATAGCACACTATGAAAGACTAGAGGACCAAGAAACTACACATTTCATATTCGTAACAGATTGATTGTTACCAGGTCTTAAGACTTCACACAACAACTGACAGTTGTTTTGACCAATTTCTAAAGAACTGGCATAAGATTCTTCATGCAAATTTTCAAAAATGTCTTATTTTTTAAAGAAATAGTGACACTTTTAACTAAATTCTCTGCTGGTCAGAAGTTCATGTACAGACCTAACAAATCATAACGAGGCTCTATTCACTGGTCTTTATAGCCAAACTAAATAACGCTGACTGCTGAAGGTAGCTGGGTTTGTGACCCTTGGAAGAAAGGAAATAAAAACTGTGTCTCTGCTCAGCAATGCATACATGAAAGAAAATTCACTGTTGAAGAAACATCTGAACCATGGCCATAACAAGGTAACATGTGCTTTGTGCTATAACCTAGACTGTAATAAGATGGATCTGTTGGTTCCTGTATTTCCAGGAATTTCCTTTAACCTAATTTTCAGTATTCTTAAGAATGGTTAAAACCCCCATGTCATTTCAAGACTTGTTTCAGAAAATCTTCACAACCCACCTTCCTTATTTCTGGTAATCCTGGTATTTCAATGAGGTCACCACTGTGTAAAGACTTGCGTAAAGAAAAATGGACAGCTATTCACCTTTACCCAGGGCAAATATCATAGAACCACAGAAAAACGGCTAACTTTAACATGTAAAAATTAGCTATATTTTATTAATATTTACAAATGAAAACTGTCTATTTACAATGTAAACACCTCAAATTCAATTCAAATCTTCAAGCATTTGACTAGTGGAACGTTTTTTCTCCCTGAATTCAAAGGGAAATAGAATTAAGCTACGTCCAAAAGCTATTTCTTTCACTCTCAGCGGGAAATTACAAGCAGAAATCTACGAGTAATAGAACACCTGAACTCATAAGAATGGTTAAATAAATTACTGTGGCATAATTCTCAGACCCATGCAGGTTATTAAGGTGGATGCATAATAAAACCAAACTGTCTCAATAGAATGTATAAACATAAATTGAGTTAGAAATTCAGGAAAAAAAAAAAAAGCTTTATTCTACAAGCAGAAAGAGGTTTTCTTTAGCTTGGAGAGGTTTTGATTTTCCTTATGTAACACTTCCACTAATCCTTTATTCAAACAGATCATAACAATGACTATCTGCTATTGCAGACTCCTTTTTCAGGAAGGAAAAACATTCTGTTTACTTCACTGATGGGAATATCCCTCAAGGCTGGAATTGCTTCTTCTTGAAATCTCTTCTGCTGCTGCTTTTTTGCATAGTTATCTATAGGAGGCAACGAGAACATTTCACATATTAAAGATCTTTTTCTTTCAAGAAATGTTATATAATGCAACACTATATAAATTTAGCTACTATAAGTGATGCTGAAAACCCCATCTTGCTGGGGTACGATGAGATGGTCATTTGAAACACTTTACACC